ATATATATATACATACATATACATATATATGGCCGACACAGCCTCACCTCTAGTGTTGGAATCAATCACCATGCTGTCCTTGTGGAGTCTTGTGGCCCAACTACAAGGAACCTCGTCACCGACACCCCCTGCTGCAGTGTGCGACCTGCAGTGAGCCTCCCTGTCCTGCTTGGCCTGTGGACAGCCAGCCCCTTGGCCATCCTCCCATGCCCCCCATACACACCCAAAGCATGGGCGCTGCAAAGGCAGCTGTGTGGTTCTCTGACTGCCACCAGTCTTGCTCTCTCTTGGCTGAGAATAAAACCTGTACCTGGACGATGGGAAACCCGTGTCCTCCGCTGGCTCGTGTTCGCCCCAGGGCACGGGGATGGTGGCTCCTGGGAAAGCACCTCAAGGTGCCTTTCAGCGGGCTGTGAACCCTGCTCTAGCCACTAGGGGGCCAGGCAGGCCTTGCTCTCCTGACGGGTCAGGGCTGGGTCTGGCACAAGCAGCGGGTGAGATGGGAGGAACCCGCCCCCAGGGTGGACGGGCCAGGGGAGCAGGGCCTGTTAGATCAGGCTGGAGTCCGGCCCACTGGATGGGACGGGCCTTGTAGCCCCCATGGTCTTCTCACCATCACTTAGCAACACAGAGGAAGATGCCGCACAGCCCTGCTGGACAGGCAGGCACCGTGCAGCCCAAAGCCCGCCCTCTGCTGGCAAGACCCACTCCCTGCTCAGTGCCGACCAACAGCCCACACTAAGACCCCAGAACGAACACGCAAGGCCAGGTTGTATGACTAAATCCATTTATTCCAAAGAAAAAGCAAAATAAACAGGAGCCGCATCACCAGGGCACCACAACCCCGTCCCCGTCTCCTTCCTCTGTTCTCTGCTACCAATAAATAAGTTTCCCAGCCCCAAATAATTATAGGACCTGCTCCCCATCCACCAGCTCCAGCCTCTATGATACAGGGGGGCGGCCCTCCCCCGGAATATACAAAATGTTACACAGGTACAGTATGTACACGGGGCGGGAAGCCCACGCAGCAGCCTCTTCCCTCTCCGGGCTGCGAGGGCACCGCCCCACTGCCCTGCAGGAAAGTGCACCGGAGGCGGGGCCCCTGAATGAACGGCTTCACTGCCTGCCCGACTGGCCAGCTCCAGAGCGCCTCGAAGCCTCGAACTGGGCTGGGGCTGGGGGCCGAGGGCCAGGGGCCAGGCCCTGGGCTCCATCCACAGGACAGAAAGATGGAGTGGCCTCGCCTGGCCTCCAGGGAGTCCCACCTGGGCAAGAGCTGTCCACAGCGAGAGAATGGGGGTCCCCCACTGCGGGAGGGCTCGGCAAGGGCGAGGAGGCCACCAGGAGCCCCGGCCCCGGTGGCTGAGGCTACGGCTCTCTGAACAGGAGTCCAGAAAATAAGACGCTGGCCAGTACGGCAAAGGATCTGCACCTGTCCGTGTCCCCAGTGAGACAGGGGGTCTTTTTGTTTTCCTATTGTTTTTCTTTTTACTTTTTTCAATTTTTTTTCAATTTTTAATTTGAAAAATTTTTTTTTTAGTTTTTGTAAATTTTAATTTTTCAGTTTCTCTTACTACTCTAAAGATAAAAGGTGGCATGGCTAGAGTGGCAGGGACTGAGTGGGGGCAGTGGGGCCATCCCTGCCCCACTCCTCTAGGCCTGGCGCTCGGCCTCTTCAGATCACCATGATCTTCACCTCGTCGTTCCTGTCCGCCCGGTAGAAGAAGGGGATGCACGGGCTGCCGCCCAGGCCCAGGTGCTCCTCGGGGTTCTGGATCTCACGCAGCAGCTGCATGATCTGCCGCGCCGTGGGGTTCTCGGGGGCCGAGCCCGGCCCGGCCACGTCCTGTGCAGGTTCGGCACTGTCGGCAAGGTTCACCTCGAGAAGGTCTTCGGAGAGAGCGGAGCGCTCAGTGCTGCACCCCTCCCCACGCCCGCCCCTCACCACCCGGTGGCTCTGCTCACCACCCTGCTCGGCCGTGGCAGCACCGAGTCCTTGGGCGTCTCCAGGCCCCGGAGCGGGCTCCCCGGCAGGGCTTCGGGCGGCGGCCAGGAACCTGCCCTGCCACTCGTTGCGCTCACCCACGAGCCTCAGCACCAGCTCCTGCAGCTCCAGGAGCTTCACCTGGAGGGAGAGGTGCTCAGTGCCTGCCCCGGGCTGGCCGACAACCGACAGCCCACGGACGACCCACGGCGCGTGCCGGGCCCCACCTTCATCTCCTCCTTGTCCTGGGCCAGCCGGCTGATGTACTCCTCCTTCTCACGGTGCCGCTCCTTCAGCACCGCCCTCTGGTTTTGGTAGAGGGCGATGTACTCTCCTGAGGGAGGGCACCACGTCAGGGCTCCAGGCGTCCCTCAGCCCGTCGCTCTGCCCGGCCACCCCGGAGCCCGGCCCGCTCACCGATGGTGTCCGTCTCCCCAGAGAGCTGGATGCAGCGGTGCTCCAGCTCGTCCACACGCTCCTTCAGCTCCGCCTTCTCCTGCATGACCTCCAGGAAGCGGCTCTGGAGCCAGAACAGCGGTCAGGGGAGGGTCTGTGGCCGCCACCCTGGCCGCCCTCCCGGCCCCTCCGGACAGACCCACCTGCAGCTTCTCCATGGCCACTTGCAGGGCCCGGTGGTTCTCCCCAGACTCGCTTTCACCTGTGCTCCCGGGGGTCGGGACCTCCTTCCCAGGCTCACTGTGAGACCTGGCCACCAGGTGGGCGAGGCGCCGGCACTGCGCCCTCTGCTCCCTCAGCTGCCCACGCAGCCTGGCCCGCTCTTCCCGGGCACTGGAGAGAGCTGCATTACAAAACGCCACCTGCAGGAAGAGGGTGGGCGTGCTGGGGGTCTGCTCGGGGCCTGGGGAGCACCTGTTCTTCCTAGGGGGTTGGCGTCTGACACTGGCGCCCGGGGAAGCAAGAGAAGCCAGAGGGTGGGGAAACCATCCAAAGGGACCCAGGGAGGCAGGGCACGTAGGGCAGGGAAGGGACAGTGCAGCCCGACTCACCATGGCCTCTCGGCTCTCTAAGTCCTCTGGGATGGTCACATCGCGCTGAGGGGCCTCCTCCTCCGCCTCCTCCGCCTCCTCCTCCTCCTCCTCCACATCCTCTCCTGTGGGAGCAGCCAGAGGGTCCTAGCCCACCTCTGCTGCACCTGCCCATCGCGTCCCCCTGGACCGCCCACGTCTCTCCTCCATTCTCTTTAGCAGTGAGTCCTCCTCAGGCTCCTCCCTCCCCACAGCCTCACTCACCTGCCCCAGGTAGGGCCAGGAGGCTGAGCTGGGCCTGTAGCTGGCGGTTCTGCTTGCTGCTGGCCTCCAGGCGCTCCTGCAGTCCACGACAAGGTGAGCAGACACAGAGGTGGCCAGGTCCCCCGCCCGGCCTCAGCTCCCAGCCTCACCTGGGTCTCCCGCAGCTCCTGGCGGGCCCTGTCCTCGGCTGTCTTGCCCTGCATCTGCTCATGCTGCAGCTGGTCCAGGAGCTGCGTGTGCACCAGGAACTGCCTGTGCAGCGCCTCCTTCTCGGAGGTCACCTGCTGCCAGGCCGCTGTGTACTGCTGCAGCTGGGACAGGAGTTGCTCTCGCTGCTGCTGCAGACCCTGCACCTCCTGACTCTTCAATTCCATCTACAGAAGACGCTGGGCGTGAGGAGGAGGGTGACCTGCTTCCCAGTTACGACCCATAAACCGGTGGGGAACACCCAGAGCCCAGGCCTTCTACACCTAGCCTCACACCTTGGAACCTGCTTTTCCACCACTTGGACTTTACTTTTATATATATAATTTTTTTTTCCTTTGGTTTTTTTTGAGACAGGGTCTCACTATGTAGTTGAGACTGACCTGGAACTCACTGTGTAGCCCAGGCTGGTCTCAAACTCACAGTGATCCTCCTGCCTCAGCCTCCCAAGTGCTGAGATTACAGGCATGCGCCACCACACCCAGCTATACCACTTGGACTTTAGACCCCAGAACATCTGGAACACATCAGAGGGAACCAACCCACATCTGCTAAGCACACTCTGCTAGCACCCTCACTTCACACAATGAACTCATTCAGTCCTCAAAGTCTCTATAAGGAAAAGGCTAATCTCCTGAAGTTAATGAAACTGAGGCTCAGCGATGTGAAAAACTGAAACTGACAGGTTCAGCTGAGGTTAGAATCCAGCCTCAGCCCACACAGCCTCCCATCAAACCCTATCTGCCCCACAATGAGGACATCCTCACCTGGGAGCCTGGGTCTGCCCACCTTTAGCAGTCAAGGGCAGAGAGCAAGAAACAGTCACAGGACAGCTCTGCAGAACTCTGGGATCACCTGTCCCCAGGCTGCAGCACATGTGCCCTGGCCCCAGCACCTCCCCTCCCCTGGCCAGCACGCCTGTCAGAGCCCAGGCTCATGGACGGGAGTTACCATCTCTGTGAGCTCCGCCAGCTTCTCCTGCAGCTGCCCCAGCTTCTTGGCCAGCTCCTTCTTGACATGCTGCTCTGACTGCAGCGCATTGGTCATCTCCATGTTCTCATTGGTCTGCACAAAAGGGAGCAATCAGTGCCACAGACCCAGGCCCCGGACAGGGTCCGCAGCACAGGGAAGGGGAATTACCCCTCTCCCCGACAGATGCCTGGGCAGGGTTCTAGCTCACAGGCTATCCACCTAGTGATGTGCCCATTTCTACAGGGCGACAGAGGCCCAGAAGGTTTGTTGCTCTGCCCTGAAGGACGTGGCGGGTCAGCACCCACGCACCAGCCTGATGAAGCCATCCTGCAGCTCGGCCAGCTGCTCCTTGAGCTCGCGGTTCTGCGACACAGCCCGGCTGATGGTGGTGCGGTCGCTCTGCATGCTCTCCAGGATCTGCCTGCGCTCCTCCGCCTGCTCGCCCCACACCTCGGCCTCGCGCTCCAGCTGCAACAACCGCTCCTCCTGCTCCCGGTTCAGGCGACTCAGGCTCTCGTTGTCCTGCACCTGGGCTTGGAGCTGTCCTGCCAGGCGCTCCAGCTCTTTCTGCAGCCGCTCAGCCTCTGCCTGCAGCCGTTGTTCCTCCCCAGAGGGCCCGGCTGGGGGCTGTGGGGCTGGAGGCTCCGCTGGGAAGGGAGCAGGCCGTCAGGGCCCGAAGCCTCTGGCTTCCGGAACTCTTCTCAGGCCTCACTCCCAAGGTAGGGTCCTCGCCCCAGCCATGGCTTCCCCAAGGCCTCGTCCGCAAGGATGGCCATTCTTGAAGCCACCACCCAGTACGGCTGATGGGGGGCACATCCCCCTCTCCACAGACCGGGGTACGGAGGCTCAGAGACATGACAAGCCTCCCATCTCCCGGCACAGACCCTCGACTCCGCCCCCACTGCCCTGGGACCAGGCCTGCTCCCAGGTCGCCCCATCCCCGCTCACCCATCTGGCTCCTCAGTTCGGCCAAGCTGCTCTCCAGCTCCTGTACCTGACTCACGCTGCGCTCCTTCTCCTCCTTCAATGTGTGCACCTGCCAGAGGCACAGGGGACACTGGAGGGGAGCAGGGCTGGCCACCTCCACAAAACCCACACACAGGGCTGGGTGTGGTGGGGCATGCCTTTGATCCCAGCACTGGGGAGCCTGAGGCAGGATAATCCCTGTAAATTCAAGGCCAGCCCAGGCCACAAGTCAAGGCCAGCTTGAACTACAAAATGAGACCGTGTCTCAAAAAAAAAAAAAAAAAAAAAAAAAACAATCCACAAGAAGACCCACACAGCAAGCAATTCCATCCCCTGCTGCGCGGACGCCAAGCACAGCCACGCAGTGTGGGCCGAGGGTCACCATGCTTCACCTGCTCTGACATCTGCCGCATCCTCTGCTGCCACACGGCGCGCTCTTCTTTCAGGTTCTCTGTGTACTGGTCTCTCTCCAGCTGCAGCTGTGCCAGTGACTCTGTCAGCTGCGGTGGGCACAGAGTGAGGAAGGGCTGTCGCCAGTCCTTCCCTGCTCCTGGCCACCTGGGGCCATCTGCCTCCACGTACCGCTCTGCAAAGCCTCACCTGCCCCACGTGTGTCTCCAGCCGTGCCCGATCCTCCACAGCCTGCTGAAACTGTTGGTCACCGTCATGGGACACAGACCCACTGGAGAACTGGATTGAGAAAAATGAGAAGTTTAGATCTGGGAGCCCAGGCTGCTCCGCCGCAGCCCCCAAAGCGTGTGCGCCAGGACCGGTGCCCACCTCAGGCTCCTGACCACTGAAAACAAAGAGCTGGCTCCCCGCAAGAGGAGGGAAACACACGCCTGGGCCAGCTGAAAGGCTAAGGCAGGAGGATAGCAAGTTCCAGCCCAGCTCAGGGAAGTGACTGACTTAGCAAAACCCTGTCTCAAATGAAAATATGGGGGGAGGGGATAAAATAAATTTGTTTTTAAATTACATTGTTAAAAATAAAATTGAGGGCCGGGGATTTAGCTCAGCGGTTCGGTGGCCTGCCTTGTAAACGCAAGGACCCGAGTTCAATCCCGGGTACCAAAATAAATAAATAAATAAATAAAATAAAATTGGTCCAAAAACAAAGAAATGAAGATATCAATGTCTCTTTTGGCGGGGGGAGGTGGGGGGGTTACCGGGGATAGAACTCTAGCCCTTGTGCTTGCAAGGCAGACACCAGAACCACTAAGCTAAATCCCCAGTACCAAGAAAAGATATGAAAATATAAAAAAGGGCTGGGACACAGCTCAGTGTGGAAGCCCTGGGTTCAGTTCCCAGTTCCACAGTACTTAAAGCAACAATGAAAAAGCTGTATCACTGATTTTTTTTTTTTTTTTTTTTTTTTTTTTTTTGAGACAGGATCTCACCGTGCAGCATAGGCTGGCCTTGAGATCACTGTGTAGCCCAGACTGGCCTGCAACTCGAGCTGATCCTCCTGCCTCAGCCTCCCAAGTCCTAGGACTACAGGCGTGCAGCAACACATCCCTGATAGTCTGACTCCACAGTCTGGGCAGGGGCCCAGTGTATGGCCTTCTAGAGGACTCCACGACACATTTCTTTGGCTCCCACACACTGGCCGCCGTAGGGCCTCTCACCTGCTGCAGCAGCAGCTCAGACATCTCCAGCTTCTTCTGTAGCTCCTCCACTCCCAGCTGGCGGGCAGCATTCTCAGCTGCGAGGACGCGAAGCCTCTCTTCGAGTTCTGAGTTGTGCTGCTTCAGGTCCTCGCTGCTTTTGCTGTGGCCAGAGGCAGAGGCAGAGGTAGTGGAGCGAGGAATGAACCGAGCAGGGCGAGGACGCCTTGACGAACAGCCCGCCACCCTGGCCGCGTGACCCCACTGCTGCTGTGAGAAGGGGCCCGGCAGCGGGGAGGCACTGACGGTGCCAGGCCACAGGGGACTGGGTTGCCTGGGGATGCCAGGAGTCAGGGGCACCGCTGGGAAGAGAGCTCAGCCCTGTGCGCACCCGAAGCCGTGCAGCCCCTCCCCGCACTCCTCTGTACCCACCCCGCCGCACACCCATCCCAGCGAAGGCCCAGCCTCCGCTCCCCTCCTACTTGTTCCTGAACAACTCCAGCCTGAGGGTGTCGCGCTCTTCCGTTAGCTCCTTGTTGTGCTGCCAACACAGAGAGTCAACTCAGGGTTGGCAGGTCGAAGAGGCGGCTGGCACACAAACCACAGCTAAAGCAACCATGCCACAGTGACACTTCCTCACCCTCAATCACACGCGGTATCTCTGCCAGGCATTTCTGTGCCCAGAGTTCTGGCGTGTGTGTGTGTGTGTGTGTGTGTGTGTGTGTGTGTGTGTGTGTGTGTGTGAGAGGGTGTGTGTTTTGTCTGTGTGTCTGTTTTCCAGTACTGGAGACCAAACCCAGGGCTTTCATTCTGTGCTCTCACCCTACCTGTTTTCTTTAGTTTTTATCGTGTGACAGGGTCTCACTAGGTCACTAAGTTGCCCAGGCTGGGCTCAAACTTGGAATCCTCCTGCCTCAGCCTCCCAGAGTGTTACAATCCTAGGCATGTGTCAGCATGCCTGGCCTCTGTGTACACTGACAGGATCTCGCTGTTGCCCAGGCTGGCCCCAAACCCCTGGGTCAAGCAATCCTCCTGCATCAGCCTCCTGAGTCACTGGGAACAGAGGCACAAGCTGCCATGCTCTTATGAGGCAGTTACTGTCACTGCCATTTTGTAAGTGAAACAAAGCGTATAAACACCAAACACCTACCTGAGAGGCACCCAGGCAGAGCCAGGATTTGGACACCCAGGTCTAACTCTCTAGGCCCATCTTGTATTCGCCTTTTGACTGGATGGTACATTCACAGTCGACTCAGAAGTAAAACGTCTCCCAGCCCCCCTGCTCCCCTCTGAGTTTATGAAACCCCTCAGACAAGGGTCACATAAATTACACGCATACAGGTGACAGCACCTTAAGTTCCTCTGGACCTTCCAAGCCCAGGCCTCATATCCATTCTCCTAGCTGTTGGCCAAGGCCACGGCCAGGGAAGGGCATGGCGGGCACCCGGTGTTCAGGCTCTGCATCCACGGCTCGCTCCACACAGAACCCACGATCACCCACAGCAGCCCACTCATCCCCCAGCTGTTTCTACCGACTATACAGCAGCAAGAACGGCCCACGCTGCATTCTGAGCAGCAAGGCCTCCACCCCGAGGAAGGGTCCTTTGGGCTCATGCCCCATCAGGGACGCTGGGCTGCCAGTGGCCAGAAAAGCAATGGGGCTCACCTTTTCCGCCTGCTTCTGCTGTGTGGAGACGGCAGACAGCGTCTTCTCCAGCTCTCCCACGCGCTGTCGCGAAGACTTCAGGCGCGTGGCCAGGTCCTCACACTCTCCTGAGACGAGAGAGAGGTCGGGATGAGACCCGAGGACCCCCTCCGGGGAAGGAGGAAGGGGCATCTGAGTGCCCACCTGCTTTCTGCCTGGCTGCCTGCTGAGTGTGGGCCAGGGCCGTGTGCAATTCTGCCTTTTCGGAAACCAGGATGCCTATGGTCTGAATGTGAACCTTTAGAAGAAAAGCCAAACAAGTGAGAGAGAGAGAAGGACACTGTCCAGGGGCCGTGGGGTTACCACGCCGTCCGCTCACCTGCAGCTGTTCCCGCAGGGACACCTGCTCCTTTGCCAGCTTCTGCTGAAACTCCTGCTTCTCCTACAGAGGAAAGGAAAGAAGTACCTTACTGGGAGGCAGAGATGGAACAGCTCAGGGCAGGTCTCCAGGATGCCACAGTGACCCAGGAGCGGGTCGCCAATGAGACTGGATGATCAGGGACCCTGTGGGGGCCGGGGCGGGGCTTTGGGGAGGATCGTGCTCCAGGCTGGGACGGAGCAAGACAAGCCTGGGGCTTCGCCTTCCATATCTTCACCCCATCCCAGCAGCCATGCAATGAGCAAACATAGAAACCACATTACTTTTTCCAGCTGTTGCACAGTATCTTGGTTCTGCTGTTTCTGTGGGAAGAGTCAAAGGAAGGTAACTGGGGTTGGCCCCTCTACGCTGGTCCCAGACCTCTTAGAGGAGGCAGGTGGGGGCTCGGGACAGATTTGAGAGGAGAACGTCTCAGATCCCATGGGAATATAACAACCACCGCCTCAAACCCCCAAGGAAAGACAAATGGCTTTTCATTAGCTTTCCCTCATGGCTACGCCACCAAAGGTCTGAATCTGGGCTCTCCTTAAACACGAGAACATAAGCCTCTAGAAATGGGGAAGCCAGATGACCCTCTGCCAGCGGGGAGCCTAGAAGGGCGCACTCACTGAACAACTGAGCTGCCCTACGGGCTGGGGCTGGCCTGAGCGGCAGGGGTGCGTGGGTGAGGACAAACACCATCCTTTCTCCCTAGCACTCTCGTGACAGTGAGCTTTGAAATTTTTGCTTCTTAGAGCACAAGAGACTTGTGCCATCCTCTAATTCTACCTTTGCAGCAAACTCAAGCCCAAAGAGGAAAGGTGGCTTATCCAAACTCATGGCAACTAGGGCCCAAGCCAGGGCAGGATGTGGGCTTGTGCTGCCACTGGAGGTGACAGGCCCAGAGCAAGTGGGGCAAGGAGCCAAGGGGGGGGGGGGGGTCTGAAGGGCAGAAAAGAAGCAAAGAGGGCGTAGGAGAGAGCCAAGCTGCATGCTCTGTGCTCTGGGGTCCCTCCGGCTGAGACCTAGGCCCCCACTACCCCATTCCCGTTGGCACCAGGGGCCCCAGCCCCTTTCCGCAGAGCCCCGAGGGGAAAGAGGAGCCCCAGTTGGCAATATGGAATCAGGGACCCCACTGGACTCTTACCAATTCCTCTATCTTGCTACTGAGTTGTTTGTTTGTTAGATAGCTGGAGTCCAGGGCTACTGCTAGCTCTTGGTACCGGCTCTGAGGCGCATGCAGAGAGGAGGAGGCGGAGGAGGTTGAGGGGAGAGGTAGAGAGAGCATCATTAGGGTCAAGGGGTGTGTGGGCTGTCTCGGCTGGCAGCGGGGCGCCCAGGACCACTGTGGGAGGCGGCGGAATGGCCTGCAGGGTCACTGGGCCACTCACCTCTAGATCCTTCATGTTAGCAGACGTGAGGCCCTCCCCATTGACGTAGGATGTGGACTGGAAGAGACGAGAACTCGCATGGAGAGGCTGTGTCCCCAGAGTGCCTGAGCCGTCCTCCTCCTCCCACGGCCCCTGCCAGCCCCTCCTCATCTGTCCCCATCGTCCGCCCCGCCGCGCAGCTCTCATCCAACAGGACAAATGGCGTCACCCACTGCGTGGCCCAGGCCTTCGTCTGTACGGCTTCGGGGGACAGGACTCAGGGGACACAGGACTCGTTTGGTGCTACCCAGCACACAGGCGGGTCAGAAGTTCTTTCGCTCTCCTGTGGTTCTCTGCATCGGTTTCTAAGACACTAGCCTTCCCCTGTTCTTACTTCTGGGCCCCAGTGGGGTACCTCAGACAAGAGACCGTTGAGCTGTTGGGAAAGTTGTCGCAGGCTCTCGGTGGATGAGAAAGTCCTAGGGATGGAGACACGGGGTCAGGGCTGCAGGCAGCCGGATGGGGAAGAGGCTTACGGGGAGCGGCCTGCTCTGGCCCCTCAGCCTAGGGACTGTTGCCCCACAGGAGACACTCACTTGGCTTCGTCCACGACATTAGGGTCACTGTCAGCATCACAGTTCTGTTTGGGAAGAGACGTACGGGGCAGTGATTCAACTTCTGGTTAGAATCACCCAGGAGAGGGGTGAGCCAAGCTCCCTCCAACAACTTTCCATCTTCCCAGGCCTCGAGGAAAAGCTTCATCGGGGCCTCCCTCCCCAGCCCCATCCCCAACGAGAACAGTGGCTGGAGGAACCAGGGTGCCTGAAGAGAGGAGACCCCATGGAGGGTGCAGGCCTTTGGGAAGCACGGCGGGGCGAACACACAGGAAGACAGCAGGCCAAAGGGAAAAGGCACAAACCTGAAGTGACGCCACGCTAGTAAGAGCAGCGACTGGGGAAGGGACCCCGCCAGGTGACACAGTGTCATCAGCAGAAGGTGGAGCAGAAGCAGCATGGTCTTTGGGTGCCTGTCACAGAACACAGCGGGCTTTAGGGGGCCATGCAGGAGAGAAGATGCCTAACTGCCACGGACACAGGGGGCGGTGCGGGCAGGACAGCGCTGCTGCAGTCAGAGGGACAGTCACACGTACTGGAGCCACTGGGGGTGTGGATGAGGCGCGCCCAGGCTTCGGGCCACTGCCCAAGCTCAAGCAAGGGTGCACAGCCTCCATCCAGAATCTCTAAGGCCCTGTCTCCCTGCAGCTCCGCAAAAAGACGGGCCAGGCTCTGATGGCGGCAGCCATAGCAGTTGTAAGGAAGGTACGGGAGGTGCTGTTCTTCCAGGGAGCCAGTCTGCGCCGCAGTGACCCCGACCCTGGGCCCTGTTGGCCAGAGGCTGGTGGTGATGGATTCGTCGCTGTGACCAATAGAACTACCGTGCCCCGCTTCTCCGTGCGCCCTCTTTTCCCCCCTTCTTCCCGCCTCACCCCCAAGCACGGCCTGTGCTGGCTTCAGAAACAACCTGAACAATCAGTAATGTCTGCTTCCGAGGGTCACGGTCCACTTCCCCGGAATAGCAGCCAGGGAACAGTCCTAGGATTTGGGACTTGGGTCATGTGGACACCTCCCCCACTCACCCAACTGGACCCACCTGCTTGGCCAGCTGTGCCCCACCGATCCCCAAGTTCAGGCCTCACTCTTAGGTAAGAAGCCTCTGGCTCTAGTATCTTCTAATGTGCAATAGGCCAGATGGGCAGAGAATGGGAAAGGCGGGGCAGCTGACACCCGACAAGGAACAAGCACCAGGGCGCCCAGGCCTGTGCGGGGAGGCTGCACGCAGGGAGGAAGTGGCTGCGTCTCTCTCCACGGCAAGGGCAGCCTGCTCTCCGGACCCTTCAGCCCTGACCTCTGAACATCCAAACTGACTTCCCTCCACACACCAGTGCTCCAGAGTCTGGGGAACTCAGGGTGGGCCACATCCTTGAAGGTTTACTGTGACCATGACCCTGGAACCCAGTGACCCTGGAGTGACTGTTAGCCCAGGAACCGGGTGTCGCCTTGACAACATCAACAGGTAAGAGCCCAGATGCAGCAGCCGACCAGGCACGAGACGCAGGCGGGAGGTCTGGTCCTAGCCACAGACCCTACAGGCTCTAGGTCCTTCCTCACATCTTGGGTTCCTACTGATGTCTAGGATTAGGCCCAGGAACACTCAGGGGGGCAAATAGTATTTTTCCAATATTTCCAAACATACTTAACATGATTGTTTTTTTGGTACCGGGGATCGAACTTGGTCCTTGTGCTTGCAAGGCAGGCGGTGGAACCACTGAACTAAATCCCTGGCCCTTAACATGATTATTTTGACAGTATATTGGGGATGGAACCCAGTAGCATTCTGCCAGTAAGCTACAACCCCAGCCTTTTTAATTATTTTATTTTGAAAGAGGGTCTCACTAATTGTTCAGGCTGGCCTTGAACTTGAGAACTTCCTGCCTCAGCCTCCAGGGTAGCTGGGATTATAGGCGTAGGCCACTGCACCCAGCTCACCATAAATTTTAAATCCTGTGGTTAAGTGTGCCCCAGTATGTCTGAGCTGACTAGGTAAATCATAGCACCTGAGCAGAGCGGACTTCCCAGGTGGGAACAGCTGTGACACCTGGAAAACTCTAGGAACAGCCAGGAGGGCCCATCCAACCCTTTCCCCAAGCCCAGCTCCAGCAGGATCTGGCCCCAGTTCAGCCCTGCTCCCTGAGCTTGGCAGATATCCCGGGGAAAGTTAGCTAAGGAGGATGTGCCAACATCACATCCGGAAGAAGCCACTTCCTCACCCTCTGGACCCAGGCCTCGCATCCCCAGAAAGTGGTCTGAGAGCTCAGGATGCTGGCCACAAGCTTTGCTCTCCCGCCCCGCCCCCCCGCTCCCGGGCCTGAATGTGACCTACCTTTAATCTTCAAAGCAGCCTCAAATGCCACCTCCACCAGCCTCAAGTCCACTGAGCATCTGCATACTGCCACCTTGTCTCTGCTGCTCCCAGAGGCCTCTGTCTGCCCAAGGGCACCTTATCTTGCTCATCTATGTTCACCACTATTTAGCAAAGTGCCTTTGCTACCTAGGGCCCAGGGAATATGGCCAAGAAGCCTCTGATTTGTAAACAGATTAGGGGCAGAGAGTTCTGGTCACTCATCTGTCTGGTTAACCTCATACCTTTGCAGTTAGTTCCTCCGGAAAAAAAAATTAGACTTAATCTCTGTGACTCTAATGAAAACTCATTTTGTCTTAACTTCTTTCTCATTGCAAACCAAGATAAATTACTCCCATTCTATTGGTCTTTGAGGGATAGAAGCCCAGAGGGTGCGACCTAAAGGTGTTTTTTTATTTTTCGCATTCTAACAGCACCACACAAGGCACTCAAAAGCCAGAACCCCACAGATCTGCTCTGAAAGTTCTCCCAAATTAGCTTTACCCTTCAAGGTATGTGTCACCTCCTGCAAGACAGTAAAAGATGGGAAAAAACACCCAATCAATCAAGCAGGTGAAGAAGCAGACACAGGCGGGCTGAGGGTTAATGGCAGCAACATAAAATAAGCCAGCGGCAGAAGACCCTCAAACCAGAGAAGCCTCAGGGGCATGCACAGCTGGAGAGAGCAAGCCAGAGAGGGGTCTCAGCACTGCCTCACCTGCCATCTGTCCAATGAGGGGAGCGCTACCCCATTGGAACGGTTAAGGTCGGACACCAGCACCTTCAGAATGTCCTGAATCTACAGGAGGCGAGAAGGGAAAAACAAGGGCAGGGGGAAAAAGAGAAAAGTGGCTTAGAGAGGCGAGAAAGTGAGGGAAGGAAGAAGTGGGCTCGGGAAAATGGAATGCTGAAGAAGAACAGAGATCAGTACCAGGACCTGTGCCACCTTCCAGATAGTCACTTCCAATCAAGGAGGTGGGAATATGGACCCTAGTGACACGGTCACATCACCAGAGCAATGCTAGCCCTTATATGCACGAGACCCCCGCCTCAACCCAGGATCAGGGAGGAACCCGGATGGGCTCCAGACCCCCATCTCCATATCCGAAACCAGACTCCCCAGTAAGGGATGACTCGAACGCAACAGGCTCCAGCTGAAAATTAACTTTGACAGACACTGAGGCCCAGGCGAGAAAGTGATTTTTCTGTGCTCGCCCAGCAAGCTAATGGAGAACTGAACTCAAAACTCAGATCTTCTCCTACTCCTGCTGCCTGGGGCTCTGCTCCCCACACCTTGGGGCTGTTTCAGAGAGCGTCATGGCAAGTGGCTGTTCTCACTGGCCTGACTTCCCCTGAGGTTGAGGAAAATCAAATAGCAACTACCATCTACTGAAGGTTTACTCTGCACCAGGCCCTAGGGAACTGACATAAAAGCAACAACGTCAATTTAAATTTCACAAGTATACATATAATCTCTGTGTGTGTGTGTGTGTGGTTCTTATTTGGTTGTTTTCTGCAGTGCTGGGGATCAAACCCAAGGGTTTGCACGTGCTACTCAAGCACCCTACCACTGAGCTACAACACTCCTAGCCCTCAAATGCAGAATTCTAACCAGTCCTGACACCTTTCTCCTCTGAAGCATGACCCTCTCCTGCCATGTGAGCCCCCAGCCCCAGCAGCCGGGCCTGCCGAGACTTACATCCTCGGGTGAGCGGTCATCTCCAGCAGTGCTTGTCTCGGGGGTGCTGTCATTTTTCAGCTTTTTCTTCTTCTTCACTACTGCAGGACCACCAGGGCTGTTCTTCTGCTGGAATTCCCTCAACTGCAGAAAGGAAAAGTGACACTGCTGAAAAATGATAAGCTCCTGTTTTCACGTCGTCCTGCAGTTTTTAATACTTTTTTTTTTTTTTTCCTTTTTTGGTACCGGGAATCAAACTCGGGACCTTATGCTTGCAAGGCAGGTTCGGTGCCACTGAGCTAAATCTCAGCCCAGCTTTTAGTACTCTTATCAGCGAGGTGTGATGGCATACTCCTGTGATCCTAGCACTAAAAAGGCTGTGAGTTCAAGGCCAGCATGAATTACAGAAAGAGACCCTGTCTCAAAAAAAAAAAAGGCCAGGCATGGTGGCACACAACTGTAATTCCAGCACTTGGAAGGCAGGAGAACTGCTTTGAGTTTGAGGCCAGCCAGGGCTACACAGTGAGTTCAAGGCCAGTCTGAACTACATAGCAAGTCCCTGACTCAAAAAGAACCCCCTAGCGGGGCGTGGTGGTGCACATCTGTAATCCCAGCATTAGAAGGCTGAGTCAGGAGGATCTCTGTTGAGACCAGCCTGGGCTACACAGTGAGTTCCAGATCAGTCTCAACTACATAGTGAGACCCTATCTAAAAAAAAAAAAAAATGAACCCCCCCCACCAAGAAAATAAAGACAAAGTGGAGCACTGGTGCACACCTACACTCCCAGCTACTGGGAATGTTGTAGCAGGGGGATCATAAGTTTGAGGCCAGCCTGGGAAATTTTTTTTTAAAGGTCAAAATAAAAAGTAAATAGGGGCTGGGGATTTAGCTCAGTGGTTCCACCACCTGCCTCGCAAGCACAAGGACCCGAGTTCGATCCCTGTACCAAAAAAAAAATTTTTCTAACTTCTAAAAATAAATAAATAAATAAAAGGGGTGGGGGAGTGGGATAAAATAAAATTTTTAAAAATAAATAAAAATGTACAAATAAACAGGGGTGGGGATGTAGTTCAGCACTCCCTGGACTCAATCCCTAATACCGCAAAAAAGGGGGTCAATAATTGGGCAAGAGGTGCAGCTCAGCGGCTGGGCACTGGCCCACCATGCTCAAAGCCCTGTGCTCGATCCCAAGCACCATACCCCACACACACCAAAGGCAAGAATGGATTTCAATTTAATCTTCTAACTCTCAGCTCTGGGGTTTGCCATGAACCAGCCACTCCCAGGGGGCAAACCCAGAGGTAGAGGTGGAAAAGTAAACATTAAATAGGCAGTAACTGTACATTTGGTGGTTTAGAAAGCCGACATCCGGGTACTTTCTTAGGCATCTGTTAGCGCTGTATACCAGGATTTCCCAAACTTCGTCAAGGTGCCCTTAGTCCTGAACAGTCAAGACACAGCCCTACAGCACTTGGGAACCAACAGCCCAACTCAAGCATCATTTCAGGAAGAAGCCCACTTTACGAATCTGTGTACATCTCACTGAGAATCAAGTAGAACTGATACTTCAGAAAATAGCGAGGCATGGCGGTGCACGCCTGGAATCCTAGCACTTAGGAGGCCGAGGCTGCCAAGAGTCCAAAGCCAACCTGAGATACACAGTGAATTCAAGGCCAGCCTGAAATACACAGTGAGACCCTGTATCAAAAAACAAAAACAAACAAAAAAGGCCTCGTATTTATCTTGTGGCACTAAGCACCCCAGGTAGACAAAACTGAAGTTCCATTTCCCAGAACCTGCTCCATATTAAACAAGCAGAACTCTCTCCAATGAGCTCAAATAAAGGCCATTCTGGTCCTAGAGTCAAAGGGAATTTGACTAGAAACGAGCGAATTTAGAGAGAAAAATTTAAACATCTCTATGGACGTTGAAGCCTGGAAGAAAACCAGCACACACCTGCTCTCCTACGGTCACCCAGAGATACTATGACAACGTTTCGGGTCTAAGTTAAAGAAGTCAGGGAGTGTAAAGGCTCTCTGCACTCCTTCTCATGGTCCCGAGTCCCCTTCCAGGTGGACATCGGCACCTCGACCAGAAAAACCGGAAAGGGGGTTCGGACACCTAGGGGAGCGGGTGGGAAGATCAAAGGCCGGGCTGGCGGTAGTAATGACAGTTGGGGGGCTGTGACGTAACTGCATTCTACTCTTTCCTCCCGATCCCACGGAGCAGGTCCGTTCCCGGCCCTCCTCTCCATTCCAACGGGGAAACGGATCGACGTCCGCGGATACGGGGCCGGGAAGGTCCGGTCTGGGCGGCAGGAGGTAGGGGCCGAGCCCGGAGTGGGGAGCCCCGGGAGTCACCGCCAAAGTCACCCGGGGGCCCGGGGAGGGCGGGGGCTGGGCGGCTGAGGAGGCGGGGCTGGCTGAGAGGACTTTGGTGGGGGAACTAGGGGCGCCCAAGGGCTCGCC